GGGGGCACCGCGGGGCCGGGGGGCCGCGGGGCCCGGCCGGGCTCGCCGGGGGCGGCGGGGCTCGGGACACCCGCCGTGACCGCCCGTTCTCCCCGCAGGCCTCCGGCAACAAGGTGAGCCGGCAGTCCGTGCTGTGCGGCAGCCAGAACATCGTCCTGAACGGCAAGGTGAGCAGCACCGCCCTTTCTGTGCCTCCGCCGGGCTCTGTAGTGCTCACTGGCACGACCAGGAGCACAGCTGGCGGCTCCAACCCCCTGCACTTTTGCTTTGTTGTCACTTTTCTTTTGACGGAAAGAATGCCTGAAGTACGGGACTCTTGCTGGAGTGGGCAGGCCTCGGCAGGGGCAGAGGGAGCAGGGAGCGGGTCTAGCTGTGTGTCCTCCTGCAGACCATCGTCATGAACGACTGCATCATCCGCGGGGACCTGGCCAACGTGCGCGTGGGGCGGCACTGCGTGGTGAAGAGCCGCAGCGTCATCAGGCCGCCCTTCAAGAAGTTCAGCAAAGGGTAGGGGGCCCTTCCTGTAGGGAGATACCTGGAAAATCTGACAGCTTGACTGAGCCTTGTGTTCAGAGAGCTCTGTTCCTTTTGCAGCAAGTTGCAGAGATACATCTCTCAAACCTGCTTGTTCCTCAATGCTGAGCTGTGCCTTGAGGGTTGGTGTTCTAACCCTCTGATGGATGGAAAGGGGTAGATTAGAATACCAATGTGGACAGCATGTTTCAGTTTCTGTGCATTTATTCACAACATCCTCCTTCTCATTTGGGCCATCCTTTAGAGAAGAGAAACCCAGAAGCTGTTCTATTTCCCTTAGCACCAGATCCACCTCTGTTAATCCATCTGGGGACAGGAGGCTCCACAGGGTGATTCTCGGTCTAGCAGTGCCAGTTTGTTTGTTGGACACATACTGATGCTCTCCTGTTGCAGGGTGGCTTTCTTCCCTCTGCACATTGGTGACCATGTCTTCATAGAAGAGGACTGTGTTGTCAACGCGGCCCAGATCGGCTCCTATGTGCACATAGGCAAGAACTGTGTCATTGTGAGTGCCATTTCTGTATTTACTGTGAAAATATTTCTCCTGGCTGCTTGTGAACTCCTTGCGACAGCAGCTGAGAGGTGTCTGCAGCAGCAGGCTGGAGCAGGCTCACTGTTTCTGTGCTGTTCCTGTCTGCTCCTCGTCCTTCTCTGCAGGAAGCTGAGCTTTCAGGTTGGCTTTTCTGAGGACAGCGTGTTCAGCTGCTGCTGGCTGCAAAATCCATCCCAAGTGCTGTCCCTGTGGCTAATGGGATCGCCTGGGGAAGGCAGCCTGGCCACAGAGTACAAGTGGAATTGTGTTTCTGTGTAAATAAGACCAAATAGTCAAGGCTACTCTGTGCTGAGGTAGAGGAGGCCTTGCTGGTACCGCTTGACTCAGGTTTTTGGTGCCAGTTTGAACATTGACATGTTAGTGTGCAGTTGTACCTGTGCTAGTTGAAAGCAGGCAGGCATTTTTCCTCAAAAAGAAAAGTTAATTCTGTTGGGAGGAGCATTCAGTCAGGGTAAAGATTTATGCTTGTGATCTCTTATAAAGGATATGTTTTGAGCAATTAATCTTGAAATTTAGGTAACATATCAGTGATAATAAGAAAACCTCATGTTTCTAGTGTTGTGAATACTTCTCCTGTTCTCTGTTTTAGGGACGTAGATGTGTTTTGAAAGACTGCTGCAAAATCTTAGACAACACAGTACTCCCTCCTGAAACCGTAGTTCCACCTTTCACTGTCTTCTCAGGCTGCCCAGGTATGCTCCCTCTATCTTCCCTTGCACAAAACTGCAGATAACATGGATATTCTTATTTTAAATGGGATTTCTATAACAAATGTGCCCATTAGCATTTAGTGCCTAAGGATAAAGGTATTGGTTACTTGCTGCACTGAAAAGTAACAGTTCTAACTTGTTTTAGTGCATGGTGCACAGGGGGTACACCGTGACTGATGGCTGTGCTGCTGTTCTTCTTCCAGGACTCTTCTCTGGGGAGCTCCCGGAATGCACCCAGGAACTCATGATTGACGTTACCAAGAGCTACTACCAGAAGTTCTTGCCACTCACTCAGGTCTAGTAGCCCATTTGCCGTGTCCAGGCACACAGGAGCGTTCTGGGGGTGGGCAGGGGGCTGCTGTCCAGTGAGGCCAGAGCCCTGAGCACCTCTGTGCGTGCCTGGCCGAGCAGTCCCTGCTGAAAGCTGCTGTGTCCTGTTCAAACTCTGTGTGCTCGTCCTGTACTCCATTCCACGTTGTCTGAGTTGTGCCCCTGAATGTTCTGGAGCTGGGAAGGCTGAACGCCTGCCTTGGGGAGCGAGGCAGGGCTGACACGTGCTCTGCAGCCTCAGCCTGCTGCTCAGTTCTGTCCTAACCCAAAGCTAGGCGTAGGTTTGCTAGGCGCAGTCTCCAGCCCAGCAGGGCTGTTCTGGCTGTGCTCTGGGCACTTAGCAGGGTTCCTTAGAGCCAGCCTTTCCTCTGGCACAATACTTGCTGCCCATGGGCCTGCATGTGAGGTGCCTGGCCTCTTCCTTTTCTCCCTGGGATTCTCTCCAGGGGTACCTCATCCTGCTGTTGGCTTTAGGAGGTTTGGCTGACACTGACACTGTCTTTCTGTGCCTGACAGGATCTTCCTTAGCTTTTAGCTCCTGAAGCACACTGGCATCAGTGTTCTTCGGGTCAGTGCTAGTGTTCTTGGGGTCAGTGCCACTTCCTGAACATCACAGACCTTAAAGAGCCAAAGGCCTTTGAAAAGAGGATTGCCATGTCACTCACAGAATTCAGTGCAGCAGAAAGTGGGTAATTAAAGTTGAGAGAATGCTGCAAATGTTCCCATTTATTACCCAGTGTCTGCATTTGCAGAAAGCTCTTCTATGCTTTTCTGGATTATGAAACTTAAGAATGACACTCAGACTTCTTAGAAAGAGTGAAGATTTAATTTTGGACATGTAGTAGAGCATGAACAGTTCTTGCTGAGAGCAGCTCTGAAAGTTGGAGGCATCTGATGCTCGTGTGCCTGAGTACAGACAAGTGGCTGCACACCAGTGTGCCTGCTCTGGTTGGGCTCTGTTAAAGCTTAGCACAGTCCTGCTCTAGGGTTTAAACTGGGGCTCCTGCGTGTTGTAGTGTAGCAGCTGGGGCCAGGACAGGTATTAGGTGTGTGGTAGGTGTGGATGAGCAGCCCCTGAGCCTCAGCTGATCTGTGTAGCAAATGCTGATACACCTTAGTAGCAAATAGCCGTGTGAGTACTAACGTGTGTAGTAGCTGCTGTACATCCCATGTAAAACACTGACTGGTTTGTATTTTTACTGTACATAAATTAAAGCCTCTTCAGTTGTTCAAGTGACTCGTGACTCTTCAAATCAAGGCTGAGGTTCCTGCTGTGCCTGGGCATGAGCCACAGTCCCTTGCTCTGTGGCTGCTCCAGGATGTTCTGGCTCTCCTGTGTGTTACAGCATGTAGTACAGCCTGAAACAGCTGCTTGCTCCCTCTGAGGAGCCCGAGAGGCCTCCTCTGTCACAGACAGGTTTGGGGCTTCTTGTGAGATTTCCTGCAAGTCAGGAGTTCAGAGCACTGCTTTGCTGCAAGTCTCTGGCAGTGTCTGCCAGGAGCGGGGTGTCTGTGCTGTGTTGCTGTGTTGTCACCTCAAAGGGTGTCTCTGGCAGTGTCTGCCAGGAGCAGGGGTGTCTGTGCTGTGTTGCTGTGTTGTCACCTCAAAGTTTTGACACCACATCATGTGTTTCACTGGGATCGCTTGATCAGCAGCCACAGCAGCTGGGAGAGGAGTGGGAGAAGGGGTATGAGTTGGGAGTGGGATGGCAGAGGAGTGGGAGAGGGATAAGAGTTTGGGAGTGGGATGGCAGCTGGAAAAGTCTGAGTGATGAATTTCCACAACCACCTGAGGGCAGAGCTGTAGTGCATGAAGGGATGTGACACTGCAATAACATTTTTCTTGGCCTGCTCTTCCTTCTAGCTGTCTGAGCTGACTCTTCTGCCTTAATTAAAACCTCTTTTGTTGTCTTTGTTAAGGTGGCCTCTGGCAGGGCCTAAAACCAAGCCACCACTGAGGACCCCTAACACCCAGCATTGTTAACATTCCTTACACTGGCCACTTTCTCCTCCTGCCTCTGAAGCATCCCTCTGACCTGGGCTCAGCTCTCCGCCTCTGCCAGTTCTGGGAAGATGGAGTGTCAGTGTCCCAGCTCTGCAGGCAGCCTTCCATCCAGCGTGGTGCAGTAACATGACACAGGAGGCTGTGTCTGTAGCCTGAGGAGCTGCAGGAGTGGGGAAGCATATCCTGCAGGGAGGGGAATGTCTTCTGTCAGGAATCTGTACAAACACTGAGCACTTCTAACCCCATGTTGCTGTGTGGCTTCATTGATCCCTGCGTGCTTTGCTCGGCGTTGCTGGCCAGGACGGGCAGGGTGTGCTGCTGGATTTGGGGAGGTTCAGGGTCCCTGGGAGCACACCCTGCCTGCCTGTGCTGCTGGTGGCTCGGCGTGAGGAGTGAGGGGCCTGCCAGGGCTGTGTGGGGAAATCTCTCAGGCACCTGGCCAGCGGGGACCGTGCCTGCTGTGTGGGCAGCAGAATCCCCCAGCGGGGATTTTGTGGTGGGAATGGCCCTCGAGCTGTGGCTGTGGTGACCTGCAGGGCTCCTGGCCCTGTCCGTGCTGGGCTCTCCAGGACACCCTGGCACGGATGGCCCGTGCCTGTGGGTGAGGTTGGGCCAGGGGCATCGGCTCAGCCTGCCGGGCAAACGCACTGTGCTGGCCACTAACATCTGTGCTTTGTTAGCCAGCGCTGAAAGAAACAGCTTCTGCTGATGGGGAAGGGAGGCAGACGGTGTTAATCCCCTCAGCCCATGGCACCAGGGAGCACAGAGCAGTGCCTGGGCTGGGGCGCTGCTGCTGCCCCTGCTGTGTGCTTGTCACTTGTCATTTGTCACTGGTGGTGGAGTGAAGGCATGGGCGCATCTCAGGGTCACTTCTCCTGGCAAGGGGGGCGCAGGAGCCAGCACCGGGAGTGCTGGAGACGCTGGCGTGAGGGGGACAGGGGCAGTGAGGTCAGGGCAGCCCCTCAGAACCGCCACACTGTCACCCGACGGGCAGCAGCGTGGGGGTGTCTGTGTTATAGAACCGGCCCAAGGCCGGTTCCCGCGTACCGCTGGGAACCGCCAGGACACGGAAGCCCCGGGAAGATCCAGGCCGGCTGCGCATCCCAGGGGAATGTCCTTGGGGGAGCGCCTCGTGCCCGCGCTCGGGGGTCCCGCGGGGCCGCGCCCGGGCAGCGGGAGCGCGCCCCGCCTGTGTGTGTGAGGGGCCGGCGGGAGCGCGCGCGGCCGCGCGCCCGGCCCCGCCCCCGCGGGCGCGTGCCTGTCCCGGCTCCCATGGAGCCCCGCGCGGCGCGTGGATTTTAAATCGTGCGGCCAATGGGGAGCGGCCGCGCGCGGTAACGGCCCCGGCGCCGCCTTTGAATCGCGGCCGCACCGAGCGAGAGAGCTCAGCCCGGCCGCCCCGCCGCTGCACCGGCACCGGGACTCGGTGCCACCAGCACCGACACCCACAGCTGCACCGGCACCGGGACGCGGTACCACCTGCACCGACACCCCCAGCTGCACCGGGACTCGGTACCACCAGCACCGACACCCACAGCTGCACCGGCACCGGGACCTGCCGGGACAGGGACTCGGTACCCTCACCTCCACCAGTACCGGGACCCCCAGTTGCACCGGGACCCGGCACCCCCGGCTCCATCGGTACCCGGCCCGCACAGCCGCACCGGGAGGCGCCGCTCGCCCGGCGGTTTGGGGCAGGGAGCCGGGCCCCGCGGTGCCCAGCGGACCAGCATGAGCGCGCCGGGCGGGAAGGCGGCGCGGCCGGCGGCGCTGGCGGAGCCGGCCCGGGCGGCGGCGGCGGCGGCGGCGGGCAAGGAGGTGCCGAAGGTGCTGGTGGACCCGCGCACCCGGCGCAGCTTCGTGCGCGGGCGGTTCCTGGGCAAGGGCGGCTTCGCGCGGTGCTACGAGCTGGCCGAGGCCGAGAGCCGCGAGGTGTTCGCGGGCAAGGTGGTGCCCAAGTCGCTGCTGGTGAAGCCGCACCAGAAGGAGAAGATGTCCATGGAGATCGCCATCCACCGCAGCCTCTCCCACCGCCACGTCGTCGGCTTCCAGGGATTCTTCGAGGACGACGACTTTGTCTACGTCGTGCTGGAGCTGTGCCGCCGCAGGGTGAGGGGCCGGGGGGCGGGTGTCGGTGTCCCCGGGTGCGGCTGTCCCCTTCCCCGCGTCCTGCCCCGCTGAGCCCGTCCCTGTCCCGCGACCCCCGCCCCGGTACTGACCGCCCGTCCCCCGCAGTCGCTGCTGGAGCTGCACAAGCGGCGGAAGGCGCTGAGCGAGCCCGAGGTGCGGTACTACCTGCGGCAGACCATCCTGGGCTGCCAGTACCTGCACAGCCACCGCGTCATCCACCGCGACCTCAAGCTGGGCAACCTCTTCCTCAGCGACGACATGGAGGTGAAGATCGGTAAGTGGCAGGGACCCCAGCCCAGGCACCAGCCAGTCAGGACGTCCTGCTCATATCCCGTCTCCCTGTCCCTCCAGGCGACTTTGGCCTGGCCACCAAGGTAGAGTACGATGGGGAGCGCAAGAAGACCCTATGTGGGACACCCAACTACATCGCCCCAGAGGTGCTGGGCAAGAAGGGGCACAGCTTCGAGGTGGACATCTGGTCCATAGGCTGCATCATGTGAGTTAAACTGCCTTCCAGAGGCCGTGGACATGGGCAATCCCTGTGGTTCTGGTCTCCTTGGCCTCTCTGAGCTTCAGTGTGATCCAAAGCTCCAAGTCACTGTTGCCACAGTGCTGAGTCCTGCTGCCAGGCATCTCCCGACCTTCCCCAACTGAAACTTTCCCTGCAGGGTGCTAGATCCCAGCTTCCCTTTCCAGGGACAGTATCCAGGCGCAGTACACATAGCTGTCAGTGTGTCCAATGCTAAGCATGTTCCCTTTGCCAGGAAAGCCCCTGGGTGTGCTTAGGACATGGTCGTTCCTATGCACTCTTTTGCAAAACTGACACCCTTTTGTCTGGGAATGCCCAGGTACACTCTTCTGGTGGGGAAACCGCCTTTTGAGACCTCTTGTCTAAAGGATACGTACATCCGGATCAAGAAGAACGAGTACACCATCCCCAAGGTATGCTGCTTCCCGTGGAGCTTCTGTTTGGCTCACAGTGAGCTTGGTGAGCCTCCTGCTGCAGCCCCTGTGTCTGGCACTCCGTGGGCTCTCCCACAGCAGGGCAGGGGCTCTCAGTGCTGGGGGGCTGGTTCAGGCTGGGGTGGCGTGAGCCTTGTGGGGAGCCAGCAGCTCCCTGCCCCCCAGTCCAGCAAAAATCTGAGCTGGGCTGTTGGTGTGTAGGGGTGAATGGACATGGGCAATCCATGAGGCCTGAGCCAGGTCCCCAGCTCATCCCACTGCTGATGAGTTGGTGTTGCTCAAGTCATTTGACCTCAGGCTTTGGGTGCTGTTAGGAGCCAGTTCTCTGGGCTATCCAATTCTGCTTGCCCAGCCTTGTGTCCTGCTTGCCTGATGCAGCACTGGGGCTCTGCTCCAGGTGGAGCTGCAAACCTGTTCATTTGTCACTAGCACCCATTGTCCCCTGACCCGTCTCTAAACTCCGCCTGTCCCTCAGCACATCAACCCTGTGGCCGCAAACCTCATCCAGAACACCCAATTCTGCTTGCCTGGCTTGTGTCCTGCTTGCCTGATGCAGCACTGGGGCTCTGCTCCAGGTGGAGCTGCAAACCTGTTCATTTGTCACTAGCACCCATTGTCCCCTGACCCGTCTCTAAACTCCGCCTGTCCCTCAGCACATCAACCCTGTGGCCGCAAACCTCATCCAGAAGATGCTGAGGTCGGACCCCGCCACGCGCCCGACCATCGACGAGCTGCTGAACGACGAGTTCTTCACCTCGGGCTACCTCCCCAGCCGCCTGCCCACCAGCTGCCTGACCATCGCGCCCCGCTTCTCGCTGGCTCCCAGCAGCATGGAGCTCGGCGGGCGCAAGCCGCTGACCGCGCTCAATAAAGGTGCCCGTGGGTGCCCAGCTGGGGCTGGGCTGCGGGGCTGGGCAGAGCCCGCCAGGGCTGCAGGGGTGGGCAGAGCCTGCCCGGCCTCCAGCAGCATGCACAACCTTCAGTGTGCCTCTCTCTCATCTTCTCCTGATCTTGTGGAAACTCAGCATTTGTGGGTGAGGGGGCTCTCCCTGCTCTGCCCAGGGTGAAGCACTGCATTTGCTTCAGCTCTGTAAGGGGCTCAAAGTGACACCTGGGAGGTTCCACCAGAACGTGAGGAAGACCTCCTCTCCTGTGCAATGCCCAAGCACTGAACAGATTGTCTAGAGAGAGTGTGTGGAGTCTCCCTCACTGGAGACATTCCAGAATCCTCTGGACGTGTCCTGTGCTCTGGAATTACTCTGCTCATGTCCCACCATGGTCCCTTCCAACATGAGCCGTTCTGAGTGTCAGGTGTTGCCTGTACCTGGGGTAGGGTGTAAGTCTGGTGCCTTTGGAAACCTCACCCTGGCAATGCCTCACTGTTCTCTCTCTGGCCCAGGACTGGACAGCCCTGCCCAGGAGCCCTTGCCGGACAAGGAGGAAGCGGCGGGGCTGCGGGAGGTGGGAGATGCTGTCAGTTGCCACCTGGCTGACATGTTGCAGCAGCTGACTGCAGTCAACGCAGCCAAGCCTTCCGAGAGAGTAGCAGTGAGGCAAGGTGAGCCTGGGGCAGCCCATGGGCCTCGTGGGGTGCACAGCCTGTGGGAAATGTCTCCTAACAAGTGCTTTCTTCCTGCAGAAGAAGCTGAGGACCCAGCCTGCATTCCCATCTTCTGGGTTAGCAAATGGGTGGACTACTCGGATAAATACGGACTCGGTAAGTGCTGTGGGTGGCAATGCTTCAGGCTTTCCTCGTGCCTGAGGGGCTGGGAGAAGCCTGGGCTGGGGCATTTCCTAGGCCTGGGTTTTTAATCGCCATATTCCAGTGTGTGTGTGTCCAAGACCACTGCCAGGATCCTTACCAAATACCCCAGGAATCCAGAGTAGTGGTCACTCACCATCAGCCCTGGCCACTTTAACGTGGACAATAGTATCTGTGCATGAGGTGACTCAGCTCTCCCCAGCCTGCACAGGGATCCACGGTGGCAGCAGAGGCTGTTTTTGAAGCAGCTGATGCAATAAAGGAGATGACAAATCCAGAGGTGGAGAAGTGCCAGCCAGACCCTGCCAAAGAGGAGACCTGGCAGGGCCTTGTAGGGTGGCTGTCAGGGAATCCCTGGGTGATAAACCATCTGCCTTGGTACTTCCCACCGCTGGCAGTCCCCTGAGATTGGAGGTCTCATGGGGTCCCTTCTGGGCAGGTTACCAGCTCTGTGACAACAGCGTTGGGGTTCTCTTCAACGACTCCACTCGGCTCATCATGTACAACGATGGGGACAACCTGCAGTACATTGAGCAGAACAACACAGAGTCCTACTTCACCGTGAGGTCCTACCCCTCTGCCCTCAACAAGAAGGTCAGTCCTGGGGACAGGAGCCCTGGCTGAGGGGTGGTGAAACTCCTGCCACCCTTAGGCTTTGATGGCAGGGTGGGTTCCAGGGAGAAACATTTATCGGAGGCCACTGGCACTTTGCGGCTTTCCTCTAGCTGGTGACACATGGCCCAAGGACAGACACCAGCAGCTCTAATGCTATCTGAGGCTCATTTATGAGCAGTTGCACAGAAATCTAAGTGCTCACATGACTTGCATGTACCAAAGTGTTCAGCAAAGCGAGTCTGATGTGTCACGGTCAGAGTTAACTTTGAGGATTTCCACAAGTTTTTGCTGTGACACTTCAAGCTCTGAAAGATGTAAGGAGGGTCTGGGACTGTGATGGCAGTCCCTGTGCTCTGCCTGCCGTGCCTGGGGTCACCCTCAGCCGCTCACAGCCCGTCCCTTGTGCAGATAACACTACTGAAGTACTTCCGGAATTACATGAGCGAGCACTTGCTGAAGGCGGGGGCGAACATCACGCCACGGGAAGGGGACGAGCTGGCCCGACTGCCCTACCTGTGCACCTGGTTCCGGACCCGCAGTGCCATCATCCTGCACCTCAGCAACGGCACCGTGCAGATCAACTTCTTCCAGGTGAGGCTCTTTGCAGGGCTGTGGCTCTGGCTGCACGTGGTGCTGCTTGGATGGCGGCAGGAGGGGATGACCTGAGCCAAGGCTTTGCCCTGGGAGCTGTCTGTGCTGGTACCCAAGGCCCCCAAACTCTCCTCACTCGTGAGGGGCTATGCTCTGGAGCAGCACGCTGGCTGCTGCAGCCAGCTGTTGCCCTTTACTGCACTCTGAAGGAATTCTAGAGGGACCTTGTCACACGCTCGGGTTGCTGCTGTGATGGCATCCAGAGGAAATGCTGCCCAAGGAGCACAGTGCTCAGTGAGCGTGTGTTCTCTCCCCGCAGGACCACACCAAGGTCATCCTGTGCCCTCTCATGGCTGCTGTCACATACATAGATGAGAAACGGGACTTCCGCACGTACAAGCTGAGCCTGATCGAGGAGCACGGCTGCTGCCGGGAGCTGGCCAGCCGCCTGCGCTACGCCCGCACCATGGTGGAGAAGCTCCTCAGCTCCAAGTCTGGCTCGGGCCGGGCGAAATCCTCCTCTTAGACCTTGTTCTTGCCGGACTCAACATCTGTGCCAAACTGCGCAGCTGTGGAGGGAGAGGTCTGGCAGCTTCCCTCCCGTGGCCCAGCTGGGTTCCCATTCCTGGGTATGGGCTCGTTGCCGCAAGGAAGCCCCTGCTGCTATGGGAATGGTGGTGTTTACTGACTGGTGCCCAAAGGTTTCTTGCTTCCTGCTCCTAACACAGTGTATTTTTTAATTCCCTACCTAGTCTGTTTTTCTAATTTCCCAAAGCCAAAAGCCCAGCTCCAAACACGTCCTCTCGTTTGAGGTGCCTGGGCCTGCTCTTGAGAGAGCAGAGCTGGCACGTGAGGTGTCTGTACATGGCTGTGCCCATGCTCTGGGCTTCGTTTCCTCTGGTAGAAGCTCAGGTAAGGTATGGAACAAACCCAGGGTGAGATTTGAGCAATCGGCCTTTTAATACTGAAACTCCATGAAACCTCAACTTTTGTATATTGCATAACTTGAATAAAGATTGTTTGACACAGTATCCAGGCTGTTTCACTTCCCTTTGCCTTACTGAGAGAGGGGGCAGCACCTCTCTGGCTTCCCCTCTGGATGAGGCATCCTCTTACCCTTACTGACAGCCCTGGGCTGGGCTTGCCTCTTCCTTGGCTCCGTGGCTAATGATTGCTAAAGAATCAGCACAAGTCCTCTCTGGCAGCAGGAGCCCACTGACCTGCCTGCTCTCCTGCCCCTGCCAGCAACTAGACATGCTCTCAGGCCAGTTTGTTTTTAAGCAGGACAAGCTTTTTAGTTTTTATTTTTTAATTTTTATAACATTTTGTATAAATATATTCTGAAAATAAACTTGGTACAAACCCTGTTACCTGTGTAACGAAATCCCACACCCCAGCACACACAGGAATCAGACTATACAAAATTATTGCTGTTCCACAGAAGAGGTTTGCTGTGGGGCTCTCTGTGCCCATGGGCTCAGTTGGTGTTGGAGGCTGCCATGAACCAAAGCACCCATGGGACACCCACCCTGGGGCTCGCAGGGAACACATGCCCATGGGGCTGCCATGACCCAAAGCACCCATGGGACACCCACCCTGGGCAGCAGGAGAGGCTGGGGGAGCTGCAGGCACAGGCCTGTCTTTGAGGGAAGGATCCCAGGGGTTCCATACTGCTGTGCCACCAGGCCTGGCACGGGTACAGGCTGCTGGGGACCCTAAGGGACAAACCCCTGTTCTGAGCCCAGCTGAGATTCATGGCAGGGCTGTGCCCTCACAGCCCGGGTGCCACGGGCAGGTGCCAGCCCCAGGGCGGCTGCTCAGCCTGGCCTGGTGAGCACAGCCCTGTGGGGCTGAGGGGCAGCTCCAGTGTCAGGACTGGGGGCCTGGTGTGCTCAAGGAGCTGCGTCCCCTGGCACAGGAGAGAACCCAAGCCACAAAGCGGGACAAAGCTTCCTGTCCCTGGTCAATGTCCACTGTGGCCGATGGCAGCCTGAGGGCATCGCTGTGCCAGGGCCCCGCTGTGAAAACACAACGTGTTCTCCTCTTTCTTCTCCAATCACTTCGTCCACCTGAGTTGTCTTTGTTTTCTGACCCAAATGCCTTCACACCTGAGTCTGACTGTGATACCTCTGCTGCCTCGTGCCCTCACCTGGCCTGGCAGCAGGACACTGAGAGGGCCCGGGCGGGGAGCAGCGGCCACAGCCCTTGGCCATGACCCGCAGCCCTCGGCCATGACCTGTGGCCCTCAGGCACTGCTGCCCCTCAGGCATGACCTGAAGCCCTCGGCCATGACCCGCAGCTCTCAGGTGCCGCTGCCCCTCAGCCATGGCCTGTGGCTCTCAGGCGCCGTCGCCCCTCAGCCATGACCCGCGGCCCTCGGCCATGACCCGTGGCCCTCAGCCATGACCCGCGGCCCTCAGGCGCCGTCGCCCCTCAGCCATGACCCGTGGCCCTCAGGCGCCGTCGCCCCTCAGCCATGACCCGCGGCCCTCAGGCGCCGTCGCCCCTCAGGCCCTGGCAGTAGTAGGGGTGGAAGGTGCGCTCGTGGGCACAGACCCGCATGGCCCCGTGCGTGTGCAGCAGCAGCCGCGGGAAGCGGGAGGTGAAGTACTGCACGAAGCCCTCGGGGACGGAGCCCAGGGCCACCCGCACGTCGGCCGGCAGCTCGTGGTAGTGGTGCTTCTGCAGGAGAGAGGGTGAGGTGAGAGAGGACAGGGACAGTGGAGGTGGCAGGGCCAAGGGCAGCTGGGTGCCCGTACCTTGTTCCTCATGGCCCGCAGCAGGTCACGCACTGAGCCCCCCTTGTAGGTGCGGAACTTCCTCAGGTCTGGGGGCAACAGGAGAGACGCGGATTGAGGGGGGCACAGCTGGGGTGGGGGCTGCCACAGCCCCCATAGTGCCAGCCCCAGCCCTGCTGCACTGCGGCCTCCCAAGGAAGGGCTGCCACCTTCACCTGCCCTGCGTTTTGGCTCCTGGGCACAAGCAGGTGCCTGCTGGCCAGTAAAAGCACCAGCCCCTGGAACCCCAGTCCCTACCAGCTTCACTGGACCCAGCGATGAGCCTGGCCCCTCCATGCTCACCCATCTGCAGCGGGAGGGAGATGTGCATCCTCCAGTTGGTCCTCACCACCGCCCGTCCGCCCGATTCCAGGGCTGAGACGATGGGCCCCTCGGCTGGCTCCTTCTCCACACGGTCACTGACGTCCTGTGTGCCCAAGAGGTGGGTATGGCACTGCCCTTGCTCTGCACGAGGTGGGACAGAGACCCAGAGACCCCTCCACCCCTCCTAAGAGTAGCTCACAATGAGCATGTTGACCTAAACAAAGCCATTTCCAGCACGTTTTTCAGTGCACACCAGTGGGACAGCACAGGCTCACCTGGAAGAACTGCAGCTGCTTCTCCTGACTCCAGAAAAAGGGATGCACAAGGACCACGGGGGCCGAGGGCCGGTGCTGGGGCTCGGAGCTGATCATCGCCACAATCAGCTCCCTCGCCACGAGCTTGTCTGGGGGTGAAGCAAAGCAGCAGAGAGCTCGCCCCTGCTCCAGGAGCAGCAGCACCCTCAGCCCGGAGCCTCCCCGTGGTGCTGTGCCAGGGGGCAGGGTCTCACCATGAGCCTCCTCCTGCAGGCAGCTCAGCTGGTAGGAGCCTGCCAGGATGTTGGCCTGGCGCCGCAGGCTGTCCCCAAAGGGGTGCTGTCCCCCCGACACCACGTAGTAGAAGATGCACCCGGCTGAGAAGATGTCCACAGCACTGGTCTGCAAAACACAGGGGCATGTGGGACCCTCAGACAAAGGCAAGGAAACCTTTACCTCACACTTTTCTGTCCTTTCACGTGGACAATTGGTCATTGGCTGCAGAGCTGCTGGAAAATGCAACACATGGGGCTCCTGCTCTGCTACCTGCGTCAGGGAGCCCCATCACCCCAGTCCCCAAGAGAGAAGGGGTTTCCAGAGGCACACCAGAATTCAGGACTCCACAGCCCAACAGACGTGCAGGGGCTGCTGGTGTCCCACCAGCAGGCAGACAGACACCAGCATGAGCCCCAGCACTGCCCAGGCTCAGTGCAGCAGCAGCTGCTCCCAGTGGGAATATCCCCAATTCTGAAGAGAAGAGAAGCGTAACCTTGGCAGCATCCCTCAGCCCCTCCAACCCCCCCACCCTGAATTTCTGAGGACTAATGGAGCCTCATGAGACACCTGTGCTGAACACAGCTGGGCACTGTCCCACAAGGGCAGGGGACGGGGACAGCCCTGGCAAGGAGCACAACGCCTGTGTCTGGGCTGGCTCTGGCTCATGGAGCTCTCATCTTAATTGTGACCTGAGGCCAGTGCCAGCATGGGGACAGTGCCACAATGGGCCCAAGGAGCACCCAGGGCAGGGGAGGCCACGGCTCACTGACAGGGTTCTCCTTCGGCGCCTCCTGCAGCACCTCGGGCGCGATCCAGCCCTCAGTGCCGGGGATCCCGGAGCGGAGGCTGAAGCTCTGTCGTCCCCCCTGCAGCTTCTTGCAAAGGCCGAAGTCGGAGATGACAGCACGGATCTGCCCGTGGCGGTTCGGGACAGAGATGAGGATGTTACAGGGCTTCAGGTCACGGTGCACTGCAAGTGACAGGTGTGGTGTCACCTGGCAGGGCTGGAGCAAACAGGGCTCTGCCACAGCCCCATGAGCTGCTGACCCCCAGAGACACTGTCCAAACCCCAACAGAGGCTGCCCAAACCCCCACAGACGCTGCCCAAACCCCCACAGACGCTGCCCAAACCCCCACAGACGCTGCCCAAACCCTGCAGCATCCGCTGAGGAGAGGCTGCAGAGGTGACTGCTGGCCCTCACCGATGCTGAGGGAGTGCAGGTGGGCCAGCCCGGACATGGTCTGGCGCAGCACGGACACCGGGTCCAGCCCACGGCGCTCGAAGCTGGGGCTCTCCACGTACTGGAACCACACAGGAGGAGAGGAACTAAGCCAGATGTACTGGGCAAAGGCAAGCTGGCTGGAGAGACACCCCACCCCAGCGTGATGGGGGTGACAGAGAGGAGCCCCTGCAGAGGCTGCCTGTGCCCAAGGCTGCTGTTTGCAGGGCTCCCAGGGCTGCAGCAGAGGCTGCCTGTGCCCAAGGCTGCTCTTTCAGGGCTCCCAGGGCCGCAGCAGCAGCCCCGTGGCCGCTCACCTCCTGCAGCGTGGCGGAGCACAGCTCGATGGCGATGTAGTGGAACTGCCGGTCCCTCTCGGTGCAGAAGTAGCGCACGACGTGGGGGTGCTCGTCCGACTCCCGGAGCAGCTGCACCTCGCGGTCCAGCAGGTGGACACACTCGGGCAGGAGACGCTTCACGGCCACCCTGCGGCCCTCGAAGTGCCCCCTGTGCAGAGAGCCCAGCCACGCTCACCCACAGGGTCCCCAGCACAGGTCACTCTGCTGCACCCCAAAGCCTTGTCACATCACCGACAGGAAGAGATCCTCCCAGTGTAACCCGGGAAATGGAGGGTCTCAGTTTTGTAGGACAATGACATCCCTCACTTTTCCTGTGTTCAGTGCTGGAAAAGGGGCTCAGCCAAAGCCTAGGAACCGTGCGAGGGGCCAGAGCAGCTGCAGGCAGGCAGGGAGGGGCTGCAAGGGGGACCTGCCCTGTGCACCCAGTGCCTGGTCAACAAGGGCCACGAGCCCAGCTCCAGGATGGGTGGGATGAGACCAGAAGAAGGTGAAAGGGGTGAGTTCTCAAAAGTGCCTGAACCAGTGGCCACCACCCTGAGCTGCCTTGTCGCTATCCCTGTGCCTCGCAGGGAGAAAGGGAGCAGAGTGGAGGCAGGCACCCAGTGTCACCCACCTGAAGACAAAGGTTCCTCCAGCTCCATGGCCCAGCACGTCCTTGGGGTTAAAAGAAACTTTCCCAACTACAACCAGGTCTGGTTCTGCATCTGCAATGGAGAGAAGACACCATCTTCCAGCCTCCAAGCATTAGTTCTGTATAGAGGACAGACTCATTTCATCTGGCCATTTCTTGGGCCCTACTACTCTTATGTAGCCCACGCTTATCCAGCAGCAGATCTGGCACCTCTTCCCATCCCAGGTGGCTGCAGCCCTCTCCTCTGAGGGCATCCGTGCACCTGCTCTGGGTGCTGGCATCTCTGCACAGAAGCCCCGACTGCCTGCCCATTCCCCCTGCACCCACCTTCCTCAGCCACTGGGGCAGCTGGCTCTGGGCTGACTGTCCCGTTAGCTGAGTCCTTCAGGGAGGCAGAGGGGCTGGAGCTCTGTGAGGGCTCTGAGGCCCTGCCCTGGCTCAGCTCCAGCTCCCTGGGCTCCTCAGGGACGCCCTCCCTGGAGACTCGTCTGGAGCGCAGCATCTCCTGCTGCTGCTGCAGGAGCTGAATCTGCTCCTCCAGCTGCTGCTGCTGGGCCACATGCTGCCGCTGCAGTTTCTGGAACACAAACCATGGGAGTACTCAGAGCCGGGAGCCACGCTGGGCTCCGCTGTCGCTCTCCCTCCACCACCAGCACTCACGGTGAGCAGCAGGACCAGCACTCCCCCGCCCAGCAGAGCCGTGCCGACAGCAGCCATCAGCAGGTCCCAGGTGCCAGACTCGGGGTACACCTCCAGCTGCTCCCCCGGCGCGGGCTCTGGCTGGAGCTGCCCCTCGCTGCGGACAGCTGGCTCCTCTGGGCTGCTCGGGGCCAGGAACTGCAACACACACCCAGGGCTGGGTGAGGCACACACCTCAGGGCATTGGGTTTGGGACTTCCTTCCTGTCCTGTCCCATGCTGCGGACCCACTGCGCACCCCAAGCAGCACAGACCCTTCAGTGAGCCAGCAGCCTCCACCACTCACATCGTCAAACACGGTCCTGGTGGGAGGAGCCCTGGGGATGATGGTTTCCGTGGTTTTCCTCAGGTTCTCTGGGAAGGCTCGCAGCATTGTGGTGTGGACCAAAGGAGGCAGCTCATGGTGCCCTGTGGCAGGAGGGGAACAGAGACAACCCTCAGTTCACCTCTTGGTTTCAGCATCCATCCCTTGCCAGCAGCCCTGGCTCTCCTGGAGTAGGGGGGCTGCTTCTCATGGGACCCCCAGCATGGGTAATTGTGAGTCCTGCTTCAAAGGGTCCCTGCCCACCCCTGCACGGGGTGTCTGGCAGTCACTCTTGGGGAGGGGAAAAGGAGGGACTGAAATGAGTCCCAAGAAGGAGGGGACAAGGAGGAGCTGAAAGGAATCCCGAACCAGCACCACCACAGCCTGAGGTGACTCAGCCTTAATCCCATTCACCCCACTGGGCAGAGCAGCTCGGCCTACTGCCCCTAAAGCACAGCAGCAGCTCGGGGTGCTCCCCTCCAGGCAGCACCTGGAGCCAGGACATGGGTGAGTCTGTGCCTACCACGGCCGCGCACCTATGAGGAGCCACTGGTTGGGAGGTGAGGCGATGCTGCCCTGCGGGTACTTGACGTCCGTGCTGGGCATGATCTCGCACTCCCCGGACTCCCTCATGGTCACGTCGTCCGTGGTGGGGCCGTCGATCCTGGCCAGCGTGATGCCCTGGGGCTGGGGACGTGGCAGCTCGTGGGGCACCAGGCGGCCGGACGCGCCGGTGGCTGCAGCGGGGCGGGGGGACACTCACCACCAGCGCCACGCTGCCGTGCACCAGGGAGGTCACGGCGTAGAAACTGGTCGTGTGCTTTCCCACGTAGAGCGCCGGCCTGCGGGGCAAGGACAAGCATCACCCTCCATCCCTCACGGATCGGGGTGGCTGAGCACGGGGAACACGAATGCCACCGGCTGCCACCGCTCAGGAACCACCTACAGCAGCTGGGTCTTGGTGGCGGCGAAGTCCTTGACGGACTGGTAGCTCCACTTGAGGACATGGATGTCCTGTGACTGGAAGGTCAGATAGCGCAGGGTCTCCATGGCCAGGTTGAGGTGGGGGAGGCGGCGCAGGCTGTCCTGGTGCCACAGGTAGATGCCAACCACAGGTGAGCCGTAGTTCTGCGCCCACAGGACCTCCCCGCTCTCCTTGTCCAGGGTCACCACCAGCCCGTCCCCGCTTGAGGCCAAGTGCGCCATTTCTGGAGAGAGCAAGGGGATGAGGGATGCAGCAGCTGGGCTGTGTCTCCTCTGGTCACCCCCAGTTCTGCCACTGGCCATGGGCTGCTGCCTGTGCTCCCCAGCACTGGGCACAGCTGAGACCTGCTGGCCCCGGCACTGTCACCCCAGGCCCCTGCACAGCCAGAGTCCTGCTGTGAGTGGGCACTGGGAGCTGGGTGCTGTGACTGCCAGGCTCCCTCGGCTGCTGCAGTTCACTCACTGTAGTGGTAGGACTCCTCGCAGAGCGGGGCAGAGTACTCGGAGAAGGTGGCATTCCAGCGCAGCTCCCGTGACTTGGTGTCATACATGGTGATGACGTACTCTGGGGACAGGAGCAGGGCACGAGGTCACCTCCAGTGCCCCCTTGCTGTCACCAGGTGGTCGCTGGGGGCACTTACGGGTCCGTCCGATGTAGAGCAGGGGGCTGGATGGGCACAGACCGTCCCAGGCCTCTGTTGAGAGGGTGGTCTGCTTCTCCCCTGACTTGGGGTCCACAATGAACCAGGTGTCCTGCTTCTTCCCTGAGAAGGAAAATGCCTTCTTTGCAAGCCCTGCAGCCCGCTGTCCCCGGAGCTCCCGCTGAGGCCCTGCTGAGCCCTGCAGGGCTCCGGGGCCCCGGGCAGCGCCGTCCCGTGCCCGTACCCGTGTAGAGCACCCCGTCCGAGCTGCGGCACGGCGAGGACTGCACCAGCTCCGGGATGGTGAACGGCAGCTTCTGCAACACAGGGGCAGGGCACAGTCACCCCTGCAGCCCAGGGCACCCCAGGGGCTCACAGGATGCCCACAGCCCCACTGACCATCAAGCCTTCTTTGTTCTTTCCTCCCAGGATATACAGGCTGCCATCATTGGGGTCTGGAAGGAATGCTGGCCTGGAAAGCACGAGAGAAGGATAAAACATGAGCTACCCCCTGCCCTGGGCACCTCCAGGGACACAGAGTGGCTACACTGCAGAATCCCCTCTAGCAGTTTGCTCTGGGGTGAGTCTCTGCAGGACTTGACCTTTCCTGGGCACCTGCAGCACTGGATTTGGCAGGAGATAAATCCCACTCTGGTCAGTCCTGGGACTTCCCACAGCCACCCAGTGCCCACCCCCAGGCTGGTGGATGCCCTGCCTGTCTCAAGGAGCTCCTGCTGCCCCGCCTGCCCCTGAGCTATCAGGAGGATTTCCCTCTATTTCTCTCCGTGCTGGTGTGTGTAGTCAAGCTGAGAGCTCCTCGGCTGTGCAGCAGGTGCCAGCTCCTCCTCATCACCATGTGCCAAGTGCCAGCACCAGGGTCAGGGTTAGGTGATGCCACAGCACGGGCTGGGCATTTCATTTCTCTGTGGTTCCCTTTCCTGCTGTTGCTCCATCAGCTATCAGGGAGCCTCTGCACTGCCCAGCGGGGGTGACACTCACTCTGCCACATAGACCGGCACCTGCAGAATGGGATCTGAAACAGAGAGTGAGAGGCCACATCAGCAGCGCTCCTGTGAGTGGGACAGCACAGCAGCACTGTTTACCCAGCGTGGCACTGCCACCCAGCCCAGCCACGCAGCCCGTTTGCCTTTCAGAGCCAACAGAGACACCAGTGGCAGATGTTCATCCGTGCTCAGCTGTGCCTGGGGCCAGGGCTGGCAGTGCACCCCAGGGCTGGAGGCACTGGCAGCCCGGAGCCCATCCAGCAAGAGCCAGGCCAGGGGAGCATTCCCAAACTCCAAACATGCTCCAGGAGCTAGGCTGTAAGAAATTCCCCCCAGTCACTACTCACCATCCTTCAGGGTCCACTTGATGTCCCCTGTGCTCTTGCTGACGGCATGGAGGTTCCCATCCAGTGTGGAGATGAAGAGCAGTGTTTCTGGGACAGTCACAGCACCACCTTTGAGGCTCTAGGACAGACACACCACCCTCAAGAGATCAGCCAGACTGGGGAACAATCCCCCAGCCCGGCTCCTCTGTGCAGCTCAGCTCCTGGGGCAGCTGCACCCTCAGTGACCACACCACCCGCAGCTACGGCCCCTGGCTCCCCTGGCTCACATCCCACCAGGGCCATCCTGGGGCTGGAGCAGCCTTCCCTCTCCCTCCTCTCCCTGGAACAAGTTTTCCCACAGGTGGGATGAATTGCAGTGTGGCTGTTCCCAGTCACAACCCTGGATGCCTTTCTAAAGGTGACAAGAGCAGCCCGACCATCGGCTCCTTCCAGAAACAAACAAGTCTGGTGACTTTTCATGCCAGAGAAGCGATGATTGCTTGCTCAGGCCTTCAGAGCTGCAGGTTTCAGCTACCTGACATTGAGGAAGTAATTGCAAATTCACCTGGGAAGACGAGCTCTGCTTCCACGTATGGCGCCTGCATAGCGAGTGCCAGCTCAGCCAGTGCCACATACGCCAGCCTCACCCTGTCAGCAAACAGGGATGGGCAAACAGCACGGGCCCCACATGGCTCTGGCACTCCCTGATGCCAGGGGTTTGGCAGCAGTGCCTGAGCCCCTGGCTGGCCACAGATTAGCGTGAGAGGCACAAGGGCACCCCTGGAGCCCAGCCCCTCAGTAGTCCCCTCGCTGCTCTGGGAGCAGAGCTGGCAGAGCCTGTCCCGGGGGCTGTCCTGGCTGTGGAGCAGGGACCAGCCAGCAGCCTGTGCCCAGCCAGCATGTGAGTCTGAGACCATTTGCAGAGCAGAACCTGGCAGTACAAGAGTGACTGTGGCACGGCAGGGCCAGGAGATTCCTTCAGCTGCAACAAAGCACAGGAGCACACACCATCTCCCTCACAATGCACCTCTATCTCCATGCCTCCAGCCCAGTTCTTTTATTTGCACTTTTTGCTTAATTTTCAGGTGAGGTCAGAGTGAGTTTCCCCGCCCTCGCTTCCAGCCCAGTTCTTTTATTTGCACTTCTTTTTGCTTAATTTTCAGGTGAGGTCAGAGTGAGTTTCCCCGCCCTGGCTTTGCCCAGAGGCCATGGCAGGGGCCTGCTCCCCACCAGGGCTCCTGCAGCCCCTCTGGCCATGCAGTGGCATTGCTGCCGGCTGGGGACGTGCCAGGCTGGCCGGCACGGGGCTCTTGCAGTGTGCTCTTCCCACCTGCCCGGGGGAAACTGAGACTGCCGGGCCCCCCCAGCTGTCAGGGCTCTCTGCTTCCTTCCCCCCGAAGCACTGGGGTTTTTCCATCCCTTCTGCAAGTGTTTTGGTGCCAGGGCACTCAGGCAAAGGCCAGGCTGCCTGGCGTGCTCCCCGTAAACCACCATGGGCAGAACTGGGAGCACTGGATGCCTGGGAGCTGCCAGCCTCCCGCTGGTCCCAGCCCCAGCCACAAGTGTGGCTGTTCCCAGGGGCTGGTCCCAGGAGCCGCGCTTTGCCGAGGTTCCACCACAGCACTCCGGGCTCTGCACTGATGCCGCTGGGGCCGAGCTCAGCCGTGGGCTTGGGGCACACTCACTTCCCCAAGGATGGATAGGGAGGGACGGCCAAGTACTCGGTGCCAGCATCCTCTGCTTCCTCCGCTGAAGCAGCTCTAGCCGTGTAACCCAAAGCCACCCTGGCACGCTGCCTATCCACTTGAACCGCCACCAGCTGCAGGAGCTGGATCCGGCTCCGAAGGCACCACCCTGACAGGCAGCAGCTCCGCGGCAGGAGCGGGCGGGAGGGGGCCGAGGGCACCCCGGGAAGGGGACACCGCTGCCGGCCACAGCCGGGCGCTGGGGCGAGGATGGAGAACAACCTCCGCTCCGGGTGACAGCCCGGCGCTCCACCGCACAGCCCCCCGGCAGCATCCCGGCCCCGCGGGCACCACGGCCCCTCTCTCGCCACCAACACCTCGCGGGTGCCCCGGCCGAGGGGCGAGCCCCGCTGCCCGGTGCCACCCGCTCCCGCCCCGAGCGCGGAGGGCCCGGCACACCCCGGGCACCAAGTGCCGTGCGCTCCCGCAGGACACGCGGGGCACGGTGAGCACCGGGAGCCCCGCGGGCACCGCGCTGTCCCCCCGCAGTGTCCCCTCCGGGCGCTGTCCCACCCTGGCGCACCCCCGCTCCCAGCCGCGGCCGTACCTGTGCCGGGGGCGGCGGGAGCAGCAGCAGCAGGAGCAGCAGCAGGAGCAGCGGCAGGAGCGGCGGCAGGAGCCCCCGGCGCGCCCCCCGGAGCCCCCGCG